ATCTTGGCTCACTGCAAGCTCCGCCTCCCTGGTTCACGCCATTCTCCTGCCTCAGCCTCCTGAGTAGCTGGGACTATAGGCGCCCGCCACTTTGCCCGGCTAGTTTTTTTGTATTTTTGTTTTGTAGAGATGGGGTTTCACCGTGTTAGCCAGGATGGTCTCGATCTCCTGACCTCGTGATCCGCCCACCTCACCCTCCCAAAGTGCTGGGATTACAGGCATGAGCCACCGTGCCTGGCCTAAAGGGACTTTCTAAGGATGTCCCCACCTGCCCTTCAAGGAGCCCCTCCTTGACCCTACCAGCAAGTAACAAAGATTCCCCCAGGCCACTGCAGGTGCCCCTCTACGTCTCTCCCACTCCAGTCTGCCTAGTCCAGCCCTCCGGGCTCAGTTACTCACAGTACACGGTGAGGAAGGTTTTAGCTGATGACTGCCCATCAGGGCAGTTTGAATAGCACATTGGTTGACTATCTTCCTGCACATTGCTCAGTTCATACATCTTCCAGTTGTTTCCACCCGGGAGTATCTCCTTTTTAGGCAACGGAGTCTCCATGCCCAACAAGATGGGCTGGTCACAGGAGGCACTGCAATTCACTTTCACGGAGCCTCCCCGGGGCAGGATGACTTCTGGGGGGAACACAGATGTCTGGGCATTGCTAGGTCCTAGAAGAAACGAGGTAAGAGGTGACAGGCATTACAAATCAGGTTCATCAATGGGAATGTGCGCCCAGCCTGCGCCGGGTGCTGGAGGCACAGCCTCAACAAGACAATACTTTGCCTTCGATGTGGAAGTTAAAGAGAAAATTCATGAGCAGGCCAGGCATGGTGGCTCACGCCTGTAATCCCAGCACTTTGGGAGCCAAGGCGGGCAGATCACTTCAGGTCAGGAATTTGAGATCAGCCTGGCCAACATGGCGAAACCTCGTCTCCACTAAAAATACAAAAATTAGCCGGTCATGGTGGGATGTGCCTGTAGTCCCAGCTATTTGGGAGGCTGAGGCACAAGAATCACTTGAACCCGGGAGGCGGAGGTTACAGTGAGCCAAGATTGTGCCACTGTACTCCAGACTGAGCAACAGAACGAGGCTCTGTCTCAAAAAAAAAAAAAAAAAAATTATGAGCAAACAAGATAATTAATAACTGGTGTTAATATGAGCTTTGACAAAAACAAAACAGGGTGATAGAATAGACAGTGCCTTGGTGACAGGGTAGTGTTTCAGCAGAGATCGAAATGATGAGAAAGGGCTGGCTGTCCAGAGAAAAGGGAAGTAAGTTCCAGGCAAGTACAGAGGTCCTCGGGCAGGGTGGCTGGAGCTGAGTGAGCAAGGATGAAGAGCGGGAGATCAATTAAGGAAGATCCCATGGGCACTGAAGGCCATGCTAAAGATGTGTGCTGTTATTTATTATTATTATTATTTTTGAGATGGAGTCTCGCTTTGTCACTCAGACTGGAGTGCAGTGGCGCGATATCAGCTCACTGCAACCTCCGCCTCCCAGGTTCAAGTGATTCTCCTGCCTCAGCCTCCAGAGTATCTGGCACTAAGGCAAGCACCACCACACCTGGCTAATTTTTGTATTTTTAGTAGAGACAGGGTTTCGCCACGTTGGCCAGGCTGCTTTCAAACTCCTGGCCTCAAGTGATCTGCCCACCTCAGCCTCCCAAAGTGCTGGGATTACAAGGTGTGAGACACCGTGCCCGGCCACATGTGTTCTTTATACTTAGGGCAATAGGGAGCCATGGGAGGATTTTAGCCATCGCTTTTTTTGTTTTTTTAACAGGTCTCCCTCTGTCACCCAGCCTGGAATACAGTCGTACAATCATAGCTCACTGTAACCTTGAACTCCTGGGCTCAAGTGATCCTCCCACCTCAGCCTCCCAAGTAGCTGGGACTACAGGACACCACCATACCTGGCTAATATTTGAAAAACATTTTTGTAGACATGGGGTCTCCCTATGTTGCTAAGGCTGATCTCAAACTCTTCGCCTCAAGCGATCCTCCCACCTAAGCCTCCCAAAATGCCAGGATTACAGGTGTGAGTCACTGTGTCCAACCAGATTTTAATGTGAAGTTGGTGCCCTCCTCCCTCCCAAGAAGTAAGGTGGAGAGAGTCAGCCCTCCAGGAATCAGACTGGCTCCTCACTCCCTGAGACACGTAGCTTCCCCCTCTTTGGGCCTCAATTTCCCCATCTGTAAGGTGTGTGAGTATAGCCACCCTGTTCCTTGCTAATACAAGTAACTCAGCACAGGGCAGGTAGCAACTGGCTACCTTGCAGGTAAGGGCAGGTAAGAAAGGGGCTGCCGGGAGTGGTGGCTCACACCTGTAATCCCAGCACTTTGGGAGGCCGAGGCGGGCGTATCACGAGGTCAGGAGATCAAGGCTATCCTGGCTAACACCGTGAAACCCTGTCTCTGCTAAAAATACAAAAAAAAGTAGCCGGGCGTGGTGGCGGGCGCCTGTAGTCCCAGCTACTCCGGAGGCTGAGACAGGAGAATGGCGTGAATCCAGGAGGCAGAGCTTGCAGTGAGCCGAGATAGTGCCACTGCACTCCAGCCTGCGGGATGAGCAAGACTCCATCTAAAAGAAAGAAAAGAAAGAAAGAAAGAAAGAAAGAAAGGAAGGAAGGAAGGAAGGAAGGAAGGAAGGAAGGAAGGAAGGAAGGAAGGAAGGAAGGAAAGAAAGAAAGAAAGAAAGGGGCTTACAGGGTGGGCACTGTGGCTCATGCATGTAATCCCAGCACTTTGGGAGGCTGAGGTGGGCAGATCATGAGGTCAGGAGATCAAGACCATCCTGGCTAACACAGTGATTAGCCGGGCGTGGTGGCACACGCCTGTAGTCCCAGCTACTCAGGGAGGCTGAGGCAGAAGAATCGCTTGAACCTGAGAGGTAGAGGTTGCAGTGAGCCCAGACCGCGCCACTGCACTCCAGCCTAGGCAACAGAGTGAGACTCTGTCTCAAAAAAAAGGAAGGAAGGAAGGAAAGAAGGAAGGGAGGGAGGGAGGGAGGGATGGATGGATGGAGGGATGGAGGGAGGGCAGGCGGCAGGGCGGGCCTATTTGGATTAGGTCCCTCAGATTCTGCTGCCTCCAAAGGTGGGAAAGAATGTCTGAGCCCAGCACTGCCCCACTTCAAAGATTCTTGTCTCGGATTTGTTCTATCTTGGATGGGGGTGTGAGAACATTGACTCCATATATTTTCCAAGGAAGATTCTGGGACCATTCCCATTTCATAAAGGGAAATGGTTACTCAGTTAGAAAGCAGTGCGATCTGGGTCTGAGTCTGGATCAGAACGCTTTGTTTTTTGAGACCAAATCTCTCTATGTCTCCCAGGCTGGAGTGCAGTGGCACCATCTCAGCTCACTGCAACCTCCGCCTCCTGGGTTTAAGGGATTTTCCTGCCTCAGCTTCCCGAGTAGCTGGGATCACGGGTGCCCACCGCCATGCCAGCTAATTTTTGTATTTTTAGTAGAGACGGGCTTTTGCCATGTTGGCCAGGCTGGTCTCCAACTCCTGACCTTAAGTGATTCACCCGTCTGGGCCTCCTAAAGTGTCAGGATTACAGGCATGAACCACCACGCTGGCCTGGATCTGAGGCTTTGTTGAGTTGTTAACCAAGCTGTCAATCTCCCACCTTCCTGGTTCCCCAAACTTACACCACCGTGAAAGATCCTCTGACCCCTTCCCTCTGCCCTAGCTAGGCTGGAGCTGGGGGAGGGTGTGCTGGCACCTCCCACTTCTCAGCCTTGGGCCACGGATAAGTCAGCTCTGGAATTCCCCTGAGTAGAAGCAGCCCTGGACTTCCCCAGGGGCAGAGAGGATGAGGAACAGAATATACATCTTGAAGTGGGTGGGGGTCCCTTAAGCCTTGTTGGGTTGGCACACAGCCAAGTTCCCAAACCATCATGATTGAGTCCTGGCGCCAGGTGCTGTGCTGGGCCAAGATACCCTGCCAGGTGGCTGCTATGACGTTTCCCGTTTTACAGCTGAGAAACTGAAGTTTAAGAGACGCAATCTAGCCAAGCAAGGTGGTGGCTCACACTAGAGCCCAGGAGTTCAAGACCGGCCTGGGCAACAAAATGAGGTCTGCCCCTCCCCTCCATCTCCAACCCCCTTTTTCAAAGCTGCAATGTATAGCCCGAGGCCACACGTGGAGGTGATGCAGGGTCTGGATTCGAACCCACTGACTGTTGCCTTTCAATCGCTGTCTCTAGCCCACCTTCCCATAAACAGCTACCTAAGTATGCATGACCTGACCTGGGAACCGGTCCTCCCGGAGTTTTGCGGAGCTGGCCCGACGGCAATCACCACCCCTGACTCACCTAGCAGCAGAGCCCCGAGCAGGACCACGAGTGTGGGCAGCGCGGGCTGGGGGCCGCTGGGAGCCATAGCGAGGCCAAGTTTGCAGCTCTGAGTAGCAGAGGAGCTCAGCGTCGAGTGGGACGCAGTGGGGCGCGCGGTCCTTTATAACGCTAGCCACCTGGGGGCTAAGGGGCGGTGCTGCTTTCCCGGAAACCTCGCGCCTTCCCCTCCGGAACAAATGCTGCTGTATTTCCGGACTGAGAGGGTGCCAGGGCCGAGCAGGGTCGTCCTCCCTCTCTGGCCGCTGCAGCTCCGGAATTTCCGAGCTAAAGCAATCGGGCGGCGGTGGCGGGGCGATGACCCCGGGGACTGCTCCCGGTCCACACGCCTCCCGTTCCCCGGCCAGGCTAAGCTTGAATCACGGTCTACACCGCGCTAAGCGGTTTATTAAGTACTGTTAAATACTGCCAACTACCCCGGAGAGTGGGGACTGTTACTGTGTCCATTTCACAAAGCAGTAAACTGAGACTCCAGGCTGCGAAGGGATCCGAACTCAAGTCCTCTCTCTCCAGTTTACGCAGGCCTCTTTAATCAAGTGGATGAGCCCCTTGCCTGGGTGGGGGACCAGGAATCTTCCCCGGGCTCCCTCCACTGAGGGGTGCCCCTCCCGCTAGGGTCACGTCCCCACCCAGCTGACACGGGCATTTCTCAAGAAGCGGCCAGAGCAGAGCCAGGCACCTCCCGGCTAACGCGAACCGTGGGAGTGACGATGCGCGGTCTCACCACGTCCGGGGAAATCGGTGTCCTCTCTCTACACCCGTGGGCACTCACACCCCCGCGGCCTCCTCGCTTCCCCTTTCGGCCTTGGCCGCGGGAGCGTCTTTACAGTTCCCAGAAAAAGGAAGGAAGCTGCGTGATCCCCACGCGCCAAGTCCTTCCGCTGGCGTCCCAGGCTCCGCGGGGAAACTGAGGCGGCTAGCTTGGATCTTGACGAGGGAGGAGAGGGGGGCGCTCGAAACCCCTGCCTGTCGCTGGGAAACTGAGGCAGCAGCCCCCAGGCACCGAGGCGAGGCAGGGAGAAGGGGCGCTCGAACCCCTTCCTGCAGCTGGGAAACAAGGCAGCCCCCAGGCTCCGAGGTGAGGCAGGGAGAGGGGGTGCTCGAACCCCTGCCCTCCGCGCGAGGCTCCCGCAACCCAGGCGCGTGCATTAAATATGAGTGGGTGTTTGCTTGGCCACCGCCTGTGCGTGTGACCCCAAGACTCGACATCCACCACGTCGAGGCTGGGGACTCTGAAGTCTTCAAGCGCCGAGCCGCGCCGCCTAAGGCTTTCCTGTTGTGGGGCGCGCGCGGCGTCGCCGTGGAGATCTCAGAGGGGCCAGGGAGGTCGCGCAGCAGAAAGGGAAGCGAAGGGGCCCGGGAGGCGCAGGCCCTTCCTATCGGGGAAGGGGGCTGCGAGTCACTGGCCATCCAGAGACGCATATTTTCCCCGCCTCGGTCATTCCCAAGGAATTTCCACGGGGATATTTTTTCTTGGAGGGCTGAGGGGTACTGAATTCCCGCCCCGGAACGGCCTGAGCAAAATCACAGAGTGGGACCGGGGACGTCCCTGGTCCTAAGACGGCCTGGGAAAATCCTGCGCCACGGGTTCTTCCTGGGGCGGGTTCTACGGCCTCGCATCCCGGCCCGAGGTGCGCGGGCGGCGAGCTCCCCCGCGCGGTCCAAGTCCCACTTGCAGCCACAATGGCGCCGTTCTTTTCTCAACATGTGGCTCAATGTTTATTAAGCGCCTACTGTGTGCTTGGCATCCTTTCAGGTACTGGGGACGCAAGAATGAACAGAGTCAGACAAAAATCCAGCTGGGCGCGGTGGCTCCCGCCTGTAATCCCAGCCTTTTGGGAGGCCGAGATGGGAGGATCCCTTGAGCCCAGGAGTTCAAGACCAGCCTGGGCAACATAGGGAGACCCCGTCTTTACACAAAATACAAAAATTAGCCGAGTGTGGTGGTGCACCCCTGTAATTCCACCTACTTGGGAGGCTAAGGCAGGAGAATCTCTTGAACCCGGCAGGCGGAGGTTGCAGTGAGCCAAGATCCATGCACTGCACTCCAGCCTGGGTGACAGAGTGAGACTCTGCCTCAAAAAAAAAAAAGGAACATCCAGGAGACAAGCATGGCTGGAGCAGGCTTAGCAAAGGAAGAGATTGGAGGAGAGGAGCAGGCAGGGAGATGACAGGGCAGATAACTGAAAGTGCCTGTCACCTGGGGAGGACTTTGTTGTTTTGTCTGTTTCTGAACCCCAGTCTCATTCTGTCACCCGGGCTGGAGTGCAGTGGCGTGATCTCGGCTCACTGCAACCTCTGCCTCCCAGGTTCAAGTGATTCTCCCTCCTCAGCTGGGGCTACAGGGGTGCGTCACCATGCCTAATTTTTGTATTTTTAGTAGAGATGGGGTTTCGCCAGGTTGGTCTCTAGCTCCTGACCTCTGGTGATCCGCCCACCTTGGCCTCCCAAAGTGCTGGGATAACAGACTTGAGCCACCATGCCCGGCCAGGACTTTGGTTTTTATGCCCAGTGAGGTGGGAGCTATGGAGGGTTGTGAGCGGAGGAAGGACCTTGCCCTGACTCAAGTGTTCACAGGGGCCCAGTTGAGGCTTCAAGAGCTGCAGCTAGGAAATGGGAGAGGTGGTGACTGTTGTAGTCCAGATGAATAATGGGGCCTGGACTGGGCAGTGTGCTTGGAGAAAGGGCTGAATTTGACATCCGTTTTGGAGACTGGGCCAACTGGAGGTACTGGGACAAGGGGGATAACTCCTTGATCAGGGTCCGAGCCTTTTTGAGATGGGAGTGGGATGGCCATGGTGGGGGGCAGGCTGGCAGAGCGAGGAGGCACCTACCAGTCCTCTGCTCCTTTAAGCTTTTTCTCAGGGAAAACGGAAGCAGAGATTCCCCAGACCTTTGCTTCTATCTCCAGGAAGGGCAGGGCTTCCTCCCGGGTGCCAGGCAGTCTCAGGCAGGCCAAAGAATGGCCTCAGACCAGAGGCTGCCTACCGAAGGCAGAAGCCATCCCATGGTGTCCCATGCAACCGCCTTGCATTTCCCTCAGCCTGTAATGCTCTTCCCTTCATCCCCAACAAGGCTGGCTCCTCCTGTCTTGTGGCCTGAGCTTTCTGCTAAAATAATATCCCCCTACTCCATCCTGGGCCACATCCTGGGCGTTCCTTTACACTCACCTTAATATTTGAATTGCTGAACTCTTCACTTGCTGAATTTCTTTTTTATTTTTTTGAGACAGAGTCTCGCTCTGTCACCCTGGCTAGAGTGCAGTGACACGATCTTGGCTTGCCACAACCCCTGCCTCCCAGGTTTAAGTGATTCTCCTGCCTCAGCCTCCCAAGTAGCTGGGATTACAGGCGTGTGCCACCAGGCCCAGCTAATTTTTGTGTTTTTAGTAGAGACAGGGTTACACCACGTTGGCCAGCCTGGTCTCGAACTCCTCACCTCAAGCGATCCACCCACCTTGGCCTCCCAAAGGGCTGGGCTGGGATTCCAGGCATGAGTCACTGCTCCCGGCCTATTTAGATTTTTTTTTTTCTTTTTCTTTTTCTTCTTTTTTCTTTTTTTTAGACAAAGTCTGCCCTCGTTTGCCCAGGCTGAGAGTGCAGAGGTGTGGACTCTTGCGCTGCGGCTCACTGGCAACCCTCCCCAGGTTCGAGAAATTCTGCCTCAGCCCTTCCCAAGTAAGCTTGGGATACAGGTGCCCCAACCATGCTAATTTTTTTTTTTTCTTTTTTTTTCTGAGATGGAGTCTTGCTCTGTGACCCAGGCTGGAGTGCAGTGGCACGATCTCGGCTCACTGCAATCTCCACCTCCCAGGTTCAAGTGATTCTCCTGCCTTAGCCTCCCAAGTAGCTGGGACTACAGGCGCGTGTCACCACGCACAGCTAATTTTTTGTATGTTTAGTAGAGACAGGGTTTCACCGTGTTAGCCAGGATGGTCTTGAACTTCTGATCTCATGATTTGCCCGCCTCAGCCTCCCAAAGTGCTGGGATTGCAGGCGTGAGTCACCGCACCCAACCAACTTTTGTATTTTTATTTTACTTTTTATTTTATTTATGTATATTTTTGCGACGCAGTCTTGCTCTGTCACCCAGGCTGGAGTGCAGTGGTGCAATCTTGGCTCACTGCAACCTCCACTTCCCAAGTTCAAGCAATTCTCTTGCCTCAGCCTCCCAGGTAGCTGAGATTACAGGTATGTGCCACCACAACCAGCTAATTTTTGTATTTTTAGTAGAGACGAGGTTTTACTATGTTGGCCTGGCAGGTCTAGAACTCCTGACTTCAGGTGATCCACCCACCTTGGCCTCCAGAACGCGTGAGCGCCACTGTGCCTGGCAGACCTTATCTTTGATTACAGATTTCTTCTGGGGAATAGCTTAGTTTGTGTTTTTGTTTTTCAAAACTCTGCTTCAGCAAAGATGTGGGGGGAAAAAAAGGCTACGGAAACTCATCTGATTCCGGTTATGATGATGGAAGACAGCCACCAGGAAACTCTCCCGGAAGAATGGGCCGGATCAATAATCTGAGTGGTCCCAGTCCTCCAATGGCCGATGAATGAGGAAGGTAAATATCTGTACTAAGAAGCAGACAACTGGACATGCACATTCATAGCAGAAGGAAACCATCAAGAGGTAGAGGGAAGGTGGGGTGCAGTGGCTCACCCCTGTAATCCCAGCCCTTTTGGAGACCGAGGTGGGAAGATTACTTGAGGTCAGGAGTTCAAGACCAGCCTGGGCAACACAGCAAGAGCCCGTCTCTACAAAAAAAAATAAAAAATACAATTTAAGGCCGGGTGCAATGGCTCACACTTGTAATCCCAGCACTTTGGGAGGCCAAGGCAGGCAAATCACCTGAGGTCAGGAGTTCGAGACCAACCCGGCCAACATGGTGAAACCCTGTCTCCACTAAAAATACAAAAATTAGCCGGGCATGGGGACGCGCACCTGTAATCCCAGCTACTCGGGAAGCTGAGGCAGGAGAATTGCTCGAACCTGGGAAGCAGAGGTTGCAGTGAGTCAAAATCACGCCACGGGACTCCAACCTGGGCAACCGAGTGAGACTCTGTCTCAAAAAAAATAAATAAAAGAAAATTTAAAAAGTGGAGGGCTGATCATGCTAGACAAGCAAATAAAATGTGTATGTCTAAACAACAGTTGCTGACCAGGCAGCTGTCATCCCAGCACTTTGGGAGGCCGAGGTGGGTGGATCACTTGAGGTCAGGAGTTTGAGACCAGCCTGCCCAAACTGGTGAAACCTCATCTCTAGTAAAAATACAAAAATTAGCCGGTCATGGAGGCACAAGCCTGTAATCTCAGCTACTTGGGAGGCTGGGGCATGAGAATCTCTTGAACCCAGAGGTGGCAGAGAGCTGAGATCATGCCATTGTACTCCAGTCTGGGCAACAGA